TGAAACCAGAAACCTTATATCTATTTACTAGCGTAAATGGTATTTAGGACATACATGCACATTTTCAGGATTAAAATTTGCTTTCAGACAAAGGTCAGTCCCTCTGGCCTCCTTTGGTGGGGCCGCCCTGTGTGCTTTGTGCTGGGGGCTCTCGGGCCAGGCCAGGCCTGAAACGCTGTGCAGCCCACAGACTCACCTCCCTTCCATCTACACTTGGGCCCTTTCCCGCTCCCTCTGCAGCGGCAGCATTCAGGGGGGCCCAACATCGGCTGAGCCTTTAATAAACGTCTGGTGAACGCACGAGGGATGGGGGATGGGGGAGAGCCAAGGGGACAGCAGTACCCCGGGGGATGGGACCGCGAGGGCAGGGGGCGGGCGTTGTCTGATTCCCGGCAGAGCCACGAGGAAGCAAAGGTCCTGCTGGAGGAGGATTCACACCAGGAGGAAAGGTGGAGGAAGAACGTTTTGGGCCGTACTTTCTCCTCACAGCATTTGGAGCAGACTGTCGCCACCCCTCTGTGTGGCTGTTCGTTGGGTCTCGTTCCCCTCTTTTCTCACCATGTCGCAGGCTGGTCCGTGCCCAGGGATGAGGGAGTCGTGGGAAGAGCTGGGCGGTGCAGTGAGGTCGGCCTGGTGGCCAGGGAAGGGTAGCAAGGTCGTGTGGGCCCAGGATACAGCAGCCTCCAGGCACCTGTCGTCCCCTGTCCCACCTCCCTCTGTTGTCCTTCCTTCTCTGCAGCTGGAGGCATGCCCTTCACTAGCTGACACACTGCGGCCTCACTCTGCTCTGGGTACTCTTCCAAGTGTTTTATGTATTTTAACTAATTCTCATTTCAACCCGTTATGGGCTGAATTGTGTCCTGTTCCCGCCCCCACCTCGCACCAATCCCCAATACCTGTGACTCTGACCCGACTTGGACACAGGGTCTTCACAGATTCCATCAAGATGAGGTCATTAGGGTGGGCCCTGATCCCATATGGCTTGAGTCCTTGTAAAAAGAGGGGAATTGGGGCCAGAAACACACACACAGGGAGACCACCACGTGAAGAGAGACACACAGGGAGGACAGCCATATGAACACTGACACAGAGACTGGAGTGACGCAGCCACACACCAAGAACGCCTGGGGCCACCAAAAGCTGGACGAACGCCTGGGGCCACCAAAAGCTGGACGAAGCAAGAACACATCCTCCCCCAGGGCCTGCGGAGGGAGCATGGCCCGGCTGACAGATTTCAGGCTTCCAGCCCCCAGAACCGTTGAGAAAATAAATTTGTTTTAAGCCACCCCCTTTACGGTATTTGCTGTGGCCGTCCCAGGAGGCTATTCGCAGCCCTGTTATTATTTATGATTATCCCTGTGGCAACAGAGGCCCAAGATCACCCATTAGCAGGTGGGAAAGCTGGAGCTTAAACCCAGGCTAGAGAATTAGCCACTGTGCTCTACTGAGCCTCAAGACTAGACTGGAACCTTCTTTCACCTCTCGTGATGAATGAAACGGGCAGGACACTCAAGCTCGCTGAGCTGGTCCACGAACCTGCAAAGCGGGAACAAAACCCAGATCAGGGGCCGGGGACTTGCAAGAGCGTCCGCTGTGGAGCTCAGCCGGGGCTCGGCAGAGACTGAGCCCGGGCTAAGGCACAGCCCGTCCCCCCGTCCAGGGTCACGGAACTTGCTGGTTAGGAGCCCGAGTGCGCAGCTCCAGAGCTGCCGCCGCCCACCAGCTGGCCTCCTCGTACTCTTCTCCCCCGAAACTCGAACCTGACACCAACGGCGCGAGGACGCATTTGCACTGGCAGACAATCTGATCCATTCGATTCAAAATCAGAAACTTCTCTCTCAATCAAGTGCCTCTCCCCAAATCCCACCTAAATAACTTTCACATCTTTACACCTTAAAAAAAGGATAAATAGCTCCTGTTCCGATGGAAAACGTTCTCTTACTAACTAAAGAGTTATTTCTGCATAATTCTGTAATGCACGTTTCTATCAACAGTCCTAGGCTCTTCTCCACCGTTCCTTCTCCTTACCACGTAGGACTGCTTCTAACCAAGTATGAAAGAGGGAAATAGGAGACAGGATTTCTTCCTTCTATTTGTTACAAGAGGAAACAAAGGTCTTGAAAGAAAATATTTTCAGTTAGCAAATAACCACCATAAAACAAAGATTTAAAAATGACCCTCATTTCAATCCTTTATTGTACTCGATCAATTGCTTCATGTATAAAATACCTATAATGGTATTAAATAAAAATAAAACTTTATTTAAAATTTACCACTGGTTAAGTGTATACATGGTATAAGGAAAACTAGACCCTTTCCAGATCACCACAGTCCACGAACGGCTAAGTCACAATGTACGTTCTGTTTTTGTACCGAGTCCCATGAAAACCCAGGTTCTTCACGTTCTGAGTCCTAGAACCAGCATTCCTTCCCGTTACCAACGAACGCCCATGTTTTGAGAAAACAGTTTTCTTTGTAAATACTCCACCAATTCCACTCTTGATTTTATCATCTCAATCTCGTAATAGGGGATCTGTAAAGGAAGGGAAATAAAAGAAAGACATCATAACCCGTCACGTTCTGAAGCGCCTTGGTGTCCTGGTTTCCCGAACCCGCCCCCCTCGGTGGCACGCAGGCTCCCGGAGGGCAGAGCTCACAGCTGGCATCGTGTACCCCCAGCGCCTCCAGCAGCGCCCGGCACACAGGCGGGGCTCAGTGCACCAGCAGCAGAACATGCCGAGAACACTGCCAACTCCAGCGCGGGCAGAGCCTCACGTTTCAGTTGAGGGTGGAAGGAGAGCCAGAGCCAGGGGCCGAGACGGAGCCCGAATCTGGATCCTCAGAGCGGTGGAGACCAGTCTGACGGGCGAAGCAGCGTGGGCAAGGGAGAAAGGCAGGAGAGCATGGAGAGGGATGGGGGCAGGGAAGAGGCCGCTGAGCTCGGAGCGGAGGGTCTGGCTGCGGGCCAGCTGGGGGGCTCTTGGACGCTCAGATGTAGACGGGTTTTCGCTTTCTCCTGTAAGCGGTGAAGGGACAATAAAGGTTTCTGAACACGCACTGGCGTGTTATCTCTAGAAAAATTAGTCTGGGGACGTAGGTGAAATACGGAGTGGAAAAACGGAACCAGACATGAGAGCAGACTGGCAGCTGGGCAGCTCCGCGCACCTTCACCGCGGACTCCTCACAGGGGACCTTGGTGAGCCATCGATACCGCAGATGCAAGCAAGCGCCGAGGCCTTAAAAGTGTTGGTGAGGGGGCGCCTGGGTGGCTCTGTCGTTATGTGTCTGCCCTCAGCTCAGGTCATGGTCCCAGGGCCCTGGGATCGAGCCCCGCATCGGGCTCCCTGCTCGGCGGGGAGCCTGCTGCTCCCTCTCCCACTCCCCCTGCTTGTGTTCCCTCTCTCGCTGTGTCTCTGTCAAATAAATAAATAAAATCTTTAAAAATAAATAAATACATAAAAGTGTTGGTGAGGATTCTGGTTTTAAAGGGTCCTCTTGTCTATTTCTATTCATTATATCAGGGGGAAATGAAAGTAAAACAGATATTCTAATAATTTAGTAATTCTAGAAGCAGAGGTTAGCATAGCTCATAGAAAATACAGGGATGCCGCACTTTTGGAAAACGGAAGGTCTGAACGTTCTGTATTTCGAAATATAAATACAGAGATTAAGCCTAATGAACGAAGTTGACATTTAAACTAGATGTAAGATCCTTGGTCCACTGGGCTGGCAGACTACCTAGCACCCTGGGAAAAGCAAATCTAAAGTAGAAATTGCTTTTGGAGCGGCGCCTGGGAGGCTCACTCGATAAGCATCTGCCTTCGGCTCAGGTCATGGTCCCAGGGTCCTGGGATCGAGCCCCACATCGGGCTCCCTGCTCCGCGGGAAGCCTGCTTCTCCCTCTCCCACTCCCCCTGCTTGTGCTCCCTCTTTTGCTGTGTCTCTGTCAAATAAATAAACAAAATCTTAAAAAAAAAAAGAAATTGGTTTTGGAGCAAAGGAAACAGGAGAACTCATACCTGAACAACGTGATAACCAAGCAAGCGCAAGTGTCTCTGTTTAATAGCTTCCTTTCCCAGTAAGTGTTTGCTGTTCAGAGAAAATCTTTTTGGATCATCAATGCACAGCGCTACCCTGAAAAATTATAGGGGGAAACTTATTTTTTTGTTATTTTTTAAGTTATTTAAATTCAATTTAGTTAACATATAGTGTATTATTAGTTTCAGAGGTAGAGTTCAGTGATTCTTCAGTTGCATATAACACTCGGTGCTCATCCCATCACGTGCCCTCCTCAATGCCCATCCCCCAGTACCGCATCCCCCGCCCACGTCCCCTCCAGCGACCCTCGGTTTGTTCTCCCCTAGTTAAGAGTCTCTTACGGTTTGCATCCCTCTTTTTTCCCTCCTTCCTCTATGTTCACCTGTTTCTTGAATTCCACATGAGTGGAATCATATGGTATTTGTCTTTCTCTGGTTGACTTATTTCGCTTAGCATAAGACACTCTAGCTCCATCCACGTTGTTCCAAATGGCAAGATTTCATTCTTTTTGATGGTTGAGTAATATTCCCTTGGGTATATGTATCATCTCTTCTTTATCCATTCATCTGTTGATGGACATCTGGGCTCTTTCCATAATTTGGCTTTTGTGGACATTGCTGCTATAAACATTGGGGTGAGGGTGCCCCTCTGAATCACTATGTTTATATCCTTTGGGGTAAATACCCAGTAGGGCAATTGCTGGGTCGTAGAGTAACTCTTTTTAACTTTTTGTGGAACCTCCATACAGTGTTCCAGAGTGGCTGCCCCAGGTTGCATTCCCACCAATTAATTTTTGCCGTTCTGACTGGTGTGACGTGGTATTTCATTGTGGTTTTGATCGGTATTTCCCTGATGCCAAGTGATGTGGAGCGTTTTCTCATGTGTCTGTTGGCCATTTGTGGCTTCTTTGGAGAAATGTCTGCTCATGTCTTCTGCGCATTTCTTGACTGGATTATTTGTTTTTTTGGTTCTTGAGTTTGATAAGTTCTTTATAGATTTTGGATACTAGCCCTTTATCTAATAAGAGGGAGAAACTCAATTTTTAAGACAATCCAAAATATTTATACATTTTTTGTGGCAAGGGTTTACTGGGGATTCGGCTACTTCAGTGTGTCAGCGTTATTTTCAGGAACTCACGGGTGTGCTATCCTTTCCTATGCTGAAACTGCACTCAAGTTTATTAACATTAATGTTGATGTTACACAGAATTTCCACAATTGGGCTGCTGCACTCTACCGTCTTTACTTCCAGAACCACATGAACTTTCCCACCTTGAGAAAATAGCATCGATTATCAAGCTCGCCACGTCTTGTCACATAAAAACCATACCAATTTTCTTTACCTTTTATGCACATCTTCGTCAACTGTATATGGCAGTACAAATGCTTCTTCGTCTAATTTAATTTCAACATCTGGTGAGAGAAGAAAGGAAACATTCTCCGTGTGGTGCCCTCACAAACACTACGCGCCTGCTCTCCTCCTTCTGCTTTGAATTCGTCCACACCGCAACGCACCCAGCTGTGCTGAAGGCTGCGAAGTAATGACCACACCAGACCACGGTGAGAATTTCACTTTAACCAGCTCTATGATCAACCACGTCAGCCTTAAATTAAGGAGGCTCAACCACCCAAAAACCAGGAGTGGGTCCTCAAGGTATCGGGCGTGACAAGAACCCCGCCTGCTTTTTCCTTCTCCTTATAGTAAGCGGTGGGCACCCTTCAACCCAGAGTGAAGAAAATCCTTTAAGCAAAGCACAGGTATAACCTCTGCAAGTCAAAACTTTCATCGCTGGGGCTCCCAGGGCCGCCAAGGTAGGCAATGTCTCTTGCACCCCGACGGGTGGTTGTGGGGCACAGGAGACCCCACTGCCTTCCTCTGATGGTCTGCCATTCCTTTTGTAAAAAGAGCACGTAAGGGGGAGGTGAGCTATGACCACCTGAAGCCAATAAGACACTGTCACCTTCGAGCTGATTTTCTTTTACTCATTAATTTTTAAAAAACCATGAAGGACATAAGGACTTGAACTCTCCGGCCAGCCCCGTGCAACAGAACTTTCTGCTGCGAAGCACGTATTTTCACCTTTGCTGTCCACTACGGCATCCGCCTGCCCCCTGGGAGTCTGAGCACTTGACGTGTGGCTCCAAGGAACTGAACTTCAGATGGGTTTTAAATATGAGCTAATGGAAATTGAAGTAGCCACAGGGACTCCTGCCTGCTGTGTGGGCCAGCGCTGCCCTAGAGGACAACAGCAATGGGCAACGGCACAGCTCCCATAGTTCCTGGTATCACTCTACACTCGCACCTGGTCCTTATGGAAGTCTGGGTCACTACGCTTCCTACTCTCATTTTACAGAAAAGAAGCAAGCAGAGAAAGGTTACTCTGCCCAAAGACATTCTGCTACCACGTGGGACTCCCCCCTACCGTCTGGACTCCACAGCCCTACCGCTCACCCACTGTTCCGATCTGCCTTCAGGAAAGGGCCACCTCTGCTTTACATTTCCAGGCCTTCCACTGGCTACTAAATCCCACAGATTCCCAAAGAGGACAGCATGCCGAAGCTGGTAAGCAACAGCAAAACTCCCTACTACTCACCTATTGTGTAACAATAGGGCGTTAACACTTTTGAAGCAAAATACAATCTTGCTCCCAAAAGGTCAATCAGTCCAATCTTCACAGATCTGTAAAGGTGAAAATCCACAGGCGTCTCCAGGGAAGAGCACGGAGTAAGAAATGACCTCACTTGATACTTAGGAAGAAGTTTCTGACCCTAAAAATTGGATGTTTAAACTTGAGAAAGGAAGATACGATACAAAACAAGAAAATAAATCCAATAGTTCAATATATCTTTTAAATGTGTTTTCAAAGTAGTCAGAGATCACAGAAGGGGAGGGACGGAATAACCATGCTATTACAGCTCAAGAAACATCTCTGGAACTCTCAGAATCGCTTTAAGGGCCTTGAGGACACTCACGTTTTTAACAGAGGACAATATGAAAAAGGTGACATTTCAATTCAGGGAGAAAAGGATAGCTATATAGTAAATACTGCAACTGGTAATCTACCTGGGAAAGAATGAAGTGAAAATTCTAGCATGCGCCGTGGACTATCATAAATTCCACGTGAGTTACAGAGCTAAATACAGGAAGGGAAGTGATATTTTTATTTTTTTAATTTTTTATTGTTATGTTAATCACCATACATTACATCATTAGTTTTTGATGTAGGGTTCCATGATTCATTGTTTGTGCATAACACCCAGTGCTCCACGCAGAACGTGCCCTCTTTAATACCCGTCACCAGGCTAACCCATCCCCCGACCCCCTCCCCTCTAGAACCCTCAGCTTGTTTCTCAGAGTCCATCGTCTCTCATGGTTCATCTCCCCCTCTGACTTACTCCCGGGAAGTGATATTTTAAAAATTTAGAAAAATATTTATATTACCTTAGAACAGGTAAAATATTCTGAAGTGAGAGAAGAAACCATAAAAGATGGATAGATTTCACTACAGAAAACAATTTTTTTTTAAAGATTTTATTTATTTATTTGAGAGAGAGAGAGAGAGAGAGAATGAGAGATAGAGAGCACGAGAGGGAAGGGGGTCAGAGGGAGAAGCAGACTCCCCGCCGAGCAGGGAGCCCGATGCGGGACTCGATCCCGGGACTCCAGGATCATGACCTGAGCCGAAGGCAGTCGCTCCAGCAACTGAGCCACCCAGGCGCCCAAAACTTAAAAATTTTTATAGAGCACAAAGATACCATAAACAATATTAAATTAAAACAAACAAAAAAGTAAAAACTACAGGGGTACCTGGGTGGCTCAGTCAGTTAAGTGTCCGCCTCTTGATTTCAGCGCAGGTCATGACCTCGGGGTCCTGAGATTGAACCCCGCCTCAGGCTCTGAGTTCAGGGCGGCTGTCTGCTTAAGTTTATCTCTCTCCCTGCACCCTCCCCCCTCCCCCATGCACATGTGCACATGCTCTCTCTCAAAAAAAGAAAAAAAATTTTTTTCAGAACTACAAACCAGGGGGAAATATCTACAACATACACAGATACACAGGAGATAACAGCTCCATCTTATGTGTTCTAGGATGAGACCCCCCCCCCCAAAAAAAGACAACCCAATAGGAACCTGAGTCAAGAGGTCACTAGAGGATTCACAGCAAATGTAAATGACCAATAAGCACCGTGAAAATATGTTCAACTCATTATTGCTCATTAAAATGCAATTTAAACATGTGACACAGTAGTCTTTCTCATGGAGTCGAATGACAACAATTAAAGGACTAATAACACAGCGACAGAAGAGGCAGGGCCACGGTGGAGGAAGGGACATCTACAACCATTAGGGGCGGCAAATCTGTGGGTAATGCAATCAACTCACTTTCAGGAATCTAGTCTCTAGATCAAAAAACAAAAAGGCTCCAGTAGGGAAGGATACGTAGAGATGTTTATTACAGCCCGCTGATGGAGAGAAATGCTGGAGAAAACCTGGAAGTCCAACAATGATGCAACAGAATAAATGTCTGGAAATAGCATGCCACCCTTAAAAAGAATGCACTTAATCTTTGTGTATTGCCCCAAGGAACACCTGCAATATACTGGATATATACAAGCACACTGTCCTTGCAGTAGTCCCATTCCAAGGCAAAATAGCGTTCGTGCATTTGTGCACATCTCAACATAAAAACTGTTGTCAACACTGCTCCTTCAGGGATGGAAGGAGGTTGGACCTGAGTACCATTGATCTCTATGTGCCTTAGCACTGTTTAAGCAGCTTTAAGGAAAATAGTGGGGGGCATGTGGGTGGCTCAGTCAGTTAAGCCTCTGCCTTCGGCTCAGGTCATGATCCTGGGGTCCTGGGATCGAGCCCCGCATCGGGCTCCCTGCTCTTCGAGGAGCCTGCTCCCCCCGCTTGTGCTCTCCCTCCCTCTCTCTGTCAAATACATAAATAAAATCTTTTAAAAAAAAGAAGAAGAAAATAGTGGTATCTTCATTCTTACACCTTACTCTGAAATGAGCTACTCTTAAAGGGGACTCCGTGTAGCCCGGAGGAGCAGGCAGGGATGAGCAAGTCTGGAGATGCCATCTGTGACCCAACACAAGGGGCCTGATTAAGTTAGGAGAATGAATCTCTAGAGTACTAGATGGGAAGCACAAATTGCACCTACACTGAACCCTATCAGAGAAGAGGGAAATGTCTGGCTTGGCTTAAAAATGTACTTGAAATCATTTAGGATTTGCTCAGTCCAGAGATTCACACTTTTGTATCTAACAGCTATGGGGAGTACTAAAGCCCTTCACAGCCAGCAGAGTGAATCTAAGGTCGCTCTGACTGGAGGACAAATCTTCCAAGACACCTTGCGGCAGGAAACGGGTCCTTTAAAGACAACAGGAATGGGGCCAATTCAATATCAAAAGAAAAGACTACCTGGTGGCAAGTAACTCCAAGCGAATGAAAGTTCTGCTTTCTGATGCCGTTACTGAGACAGATCAAAAGAGGAGAAACTTAAGATTGGGAGAGGGAAGACAAAAGAAAGCTGCCCCCACAGGGAAATAAGGCAGCCCGGCTCTCGCTCTTACCTTGTAGAAAGGGCATTCTAGGACTGAGGTTAAGAACAGTTGGGTCAGCTGTGCAAGGCTCAGTCTGTCCAAATACAATTCTTCACCTGAAATAAAAAGCATTCCAGTTGTACTTAAGTTTGGATTTTGGTATGTGTGACAAAAGAAAGGTACATCCAGGAATGCACAACACACACTGATCACTCCGGAAGGAATGTACTTTTAAATGACTCTGGGAAAAGAACGTGCCAGAGTTAATGATGCCCTCTTGCTTGCCATCAATACAATCTCATTTTAACTTCCAAGGAACTCAAGCTCCAAACTACAGAATATAATTCAAAGTACCAGGTATATTAAAATCATTGAGAATTTCCTTTAACTGTGGAGACATGGACACCTGACATATCTGGGTGGCCATCAACTGAGACGACCAACGCCATCCTTTCAAAACCGAGAAGTTGCCAGTTGCGTTCACGGCTTCTGACATGTTGTGACTATGACCAGGGCCACGTCACATCCCACAAGACTCAGGCTGGCGGTCTGTTGACCAGAAACTGTTTGCTTTGTGCAGTGTTCCATCATCCTGGAACTCTGTGTATCCACTGGCACCGGACACTCATCTTCAGGTTATTACGCAAGAGAAAACAGAGGTGACGCATTGCTCAGTGTACAGGTAGATACACAACTTGAAAAGAGTACACGTTCAATTTCCCCACCCTCAGAAGTTATAACCAACTCACCTTGCAGCTTTTGAAGAAAATAAGGGCTGAATATTTTTGCCATGAAGTTGACCGGATGGCATTCAATTAGTGAACAAGAATGGAGAATTTTCAGTAGTGTTTTGGGTGGAAAATAATTGAAATGAGTGAGCAACGTGTTTTCTAGCTTTCTAAATAAAGCAGAGGCATTTGGGGGCAAATAATTGAGTTTTCCAAAAGGTTCGATTAACTCAGAAATCTGATGAAGCAAAAATTTTTCTGACTGGCAAACAAAGGTTTCTGCCACTGCATTGAGGATGGGTTTTGAAAGAATCCTTTTCCTACTGCAGTACTCCATGACCTTGCTGACAACCTCAGGATCCAAAGTGAGACACACTGAAGCTACATGTTGCTCTAGGGCTTTTGTAAAAAATCTGTCATTGTGCCCAAAGTATATGAAAGCCTCTAAGACTTTTCTGAGCTCTTCATTAGTAAAATGAGGGATATGCCTCACAACGTATTTTCCCAATTTTATAACCAGAGGAAGTGCCTGAGTTTGATCAAGAACTGCTAGGGCACTGAGCATCTGGCTCATCAATGTAGGACTCAAGTTGTAAACTACTGACAGAGAGAAGTTGTTTAACTTATTTAGGAATGCTTGGTGTTGGTCCACTTTTTCACTACAAGCCTGCAGTATCCTATAAAGGGCCACAATATCCTCAGGAGTAAATTCTTCCAATTTTTCACTTTTCAGTTGACATATAATCAGTTCTAGCGTCGCACAGCCTGGACCTTGCAGTTTAATCAGACTTTCCCCAAGAACACAAAGACTGTGAACTTCCAGGCCACCCCGTTTGAGACGACGCTGGCATTCGGCCACCAGGTTCAGTAACAAGCTACTGTGGGGATCCACGTGCAACAGAGTCAGGGCTTGCAAAGCAGTCACCAAAACGGTGTCTGGCAGACCTGAGGATTCCTGTTCACACTGAATGCATAAGGCTTGAAAGACACTATTCTTTAGTATTTCTTTTGGCAGCTTTTGATTACCCTCTTTTTTTTCCACTTCACAAATCCGCTGTAAGGCTCCTGCTGCTAGAGTCTCAGGCAAAGTTTGCAGCGTGCTTATAAAACTTAACACTTCTTCTGATGAGGTGAAGTTGTTCAGTCTCCTGTAAAACATCTGTTCATCCCCACTTTTAAGATTTTGTTCAGGCCTATCCCAATCATGTGCTTGAGAGAACACCGGCTCACCAACTGGATTAAGGTCCTTTCCATTTTCTGAATGGAACTTTTTACAACGGCCATGATGGAATCTGACCCTGAAAGGCTCAGACTGTGGTGAACAGAACCACGGACACAGACGCTCCTCGGAAACCTTGTGAACATAATTTACAGGATGATTTTTCAAAGCAGCCAGAGCTCCATGGATCCGAAAATGAGACAAATGGCAAAGGTTCCTCCGCAAGGTAATTAAAGCCATGCCATCAGATTCTCAACTCTTCTTGATTTATGACTAGAGGAAATAAAAAACATGGTCAAATATATACAGAGCATAACTCAACAACGTGAACGCTTATGAAGCAGGATGAGTACTCGTGACAAATGATTCACAAAAACCTCCCACTTAAACACAAGTACCCGAACATCAATCTCTGCATCCACGGCTTAGAGAAGTGGCAGCTAAGAATAATACTCGCTATTATTCGCCATGTACCCCCGTGCTTTACCGGTAGAGCTTAACCCTCACAACACAAGGAATTAAGTACTTCTAACCATTTTACAGATGAGCAAACTGAGCCCAAAGAGGCATTTTGTCCGGTCTGCACAGCTCGTCCGGGGCAGAGCTGGGATTCACACTCAGGCGGTCTACACCCGAAACACGCCTCCTCTATGTTGGCTGATAGAAAGCACTGCGTCAGGTTAAGTATACCCCAAAGGAGCAACGGGTAAAAGGGCCAAAGTTCGTACAGGTCCACGCAAAGCAAGGGTCGAAACAGGTATAAAAGGCCTGAGGTGTTTTCCTCTCGAAGAAAAGATCAGGCCGGGGCGGAGGAAGAAAGGGGTCTAGTCTGGCCAAGGGGGAAAAAGGCCGATTTAAAAGAAGTGAAACGATGCAGGGCGCTACGGGAGGAAGGCGGAAGTTCCGCGTAGACCTAAACGCTCTGCCTGGTCTTAGGAACACCAGTGTGTGCGGTCCAGGGCAGACGGGGCGCCCCCGGAACCGCGTCCTCCCAGGAATCAAAGGAGCCCACGCTCCGGGTACCTCCAAACCCGGCGACCCGGGAACCTGAGCTCAAGCACAGGGCGTGCAGCAGCGCCGGCCAGAGAGAAGCGGGCGGGCCATGGCAGCACGGACACCTCGGCAACGCCACGGGCTCCCGTATGCCGGGCCGGGACACCTACCGCCAGGCGACACCTGCCGCGCTCAGACCGCCGGAGCTCCGAGCAGCGCCGAGGCCCCGGAACCTCGCGGGCCTCCGTACGCGCATTCCATAGCCGGCCCCCCGCCCCCCCCCCCAGCAGCCCGGCGCATGCGCAAGGAGAAGGCCGCGCCCGCGCCCGAAGCGCTGTGATTGGCCCAGTTCCTTCCTGAGCTCCTTATTGGTCTTGGGCGCTGGACAGGCGCGCGCCGTGACAGACTGCGCAGGCGCGGGAGCAGGGCTCGCGGTCCTCCGCGGTCCTAGAGTGTCTCCGGCCTTCGCCCTCAGGTGGGAGCCGGTGGCCGCTGTTCTCCGGGCGGGTTGCCCGCCCGCCTCGAGCCCGCGGGGAGGCGGTACAGGGTGGGGGAAGGCCCCGACCTCCGCGCCCGCACGTTCCTCTCGCGGCCGGGCTGGGCGCTCGCGGGTCGGTCGGGAGTCCGGCCCGCTGGGCGGAGGGCTGGGCTGGCTGCGCCAGAGGCTGGCCCCAGGGGCCTCCCGTCGCCCCCCCCGGAAGCGGGTCCGCCCGCGCGGCGGCGTTAACACGCATGGCGCTGGCCCCGCAGGTCGCTGCGGGCCCCTCCGCGGGCGTCTCCGTCCAGAACACTTCCCTAGGTTGGGGGGCAACGGGACCCGCGGGGGCGCCGGGAAGGGGTGACGCGGGGTGCTGCTCCCCCTGCTCCGCCTGCCGGTGCCCTGCGGGTGCCGGGGATCCGCCTCTGAGAACCGGGTCACAGACCTGTGGAAGGCGGTGGTGGGTCCGAGGGGTCGCTCCTGCACAGGGGCGCCCGGCGCTGGGCCGGGCGCCCAGCAAGAGCTCGAGGTCCGTAGCCAGAGAGACGGTAAGCGGTGGCCTTTCCATCACTGCGTTTCCGCCGTTCTCGCCGAGTCCGAGATGGGTGCTGGCTTCACCGCGTTCGCTTAGCCGACTCCCTGAGCACCTGCTCGGTGCCCGGCGCTGTTCTCCCTGAGGACGTCCCGCGATTTTAATGTTTTCTAACACAATTCTCTTAATTTCTTTGTGGCTTAATTTATCCCTAGATGTACCTGATCAGTGGAGCATAAACTACTGATGGTCCATTCCCAAAAAGCCGGGATTTGATATCGGTTTATTGAAATCAGCTCCTACAAGTTGACAGTCCCCCAGTTCTCTTATTTTTTTTTTTAAGTTTTATTTAAGGAGTCTTAACACCCAGCGTGGGTGCTGGCAGTTCATCGCCCCGAGATCAAGGGTCTCAGCGTTCTTCCGACTGAGCCAGCCGGCCCCCGACAGTGCCCCCGCCTTAGATCCTGGATGAGTATGGAGAAAAAAGTATCTAGACCGCCTCCCCACGGGCTCGAGTCCCGTAGTTTACTCCTGGTCTTCTCTTCAGGGAAAACAGTTGAAGCTTGGGTGGACTGGAAATAGTTCCTCTCTGTATGCATACACACCCGTGCTCTCACCTCTGTGTCTGATACTGAATTGAACAGTAGAGCAGAGTATGGAGCTTGACTAACTTCACTGTGATTAGCTTATTTGGTATTAGGATCACGTAGGAACAAAGTCCTATACTTCCAATGGAATTTTTACACTTTATTTTTAAGATTTTATTCATTCATTTGAGAGCAAGAGCATGCATAAGAGCAGAGGGAGAGGGAGAAGCAGACTCTCCGCTATGCGGGGAGACCGACTCAGGGTTCGATCCCAGGACTCGGAGATCATGACCTGAGCTGAAGGTGGATGCTTAACCGACTGAGCCACCCAGGCGCCCCATTACATTTTTATAAAATAAAAATATCTGAGATTTTTGGAGTACTGCTGTGTCTCAGCTCTGGTTCAGGTCTTTGCAGCTCACACATCTTTGTCAGGTGGATACTATTATCCCCATTTTAAGGGTGAGGGAGCCGGGGCACAGATGGGTTGAAGAGTTTGCCTGAAGTGCTGCAGTTGTGAGTGATGGATGCTGGATTCAAGCGCAGGTCGTCTGACCCCAGCCTCAGATTTCTGAGCCATGGACTTAGAGCTTTACTCCTGTATTCTCCCTGGTTTGATGAATTCTCTTTTTTAGACTGACTGAGAATTACACTAACATATTTATAGAGAAATCTATTAAATGTTATTTGTGGATATTGTTGGAGTCTTTTAAAAAAGATTGTGAGGGAAAATTAATACCTGTGGTGTACTCCTCAATTAAAAAAAAAATCCCTTTTTCTCTCTTCTGTTTTACAGTGTGTTAAAGCTGTAGCATATGCCGTGAGGTTATGAGGAGGTTTCTGTTACTCTATGCAACACAGAAAGGACAGGCAAAGGCCATAGCAGAAGAAATATGTGAAAAAGCATTTGCACATGGATTTTCTGCAGATCTTCACTGTATTAGTGAGTCAGATAAGGTAAATGGTTACTCACGGTTTTTACTGTTTTATGCTTGAAGTATTTTGGTTGGGAGGCGATGTTAAACAGCGAAGTAGGCTGCTAAATGCCTCTGTACACTTTTCTTTTTTTCAACTGTCAAATCTACTTTATCAACTGTGTTGTAAGATTTGTCATTTTTTTAACAAATCAAGTGTACATTTAAATTAGACTAAACAGTCTCAAAAACCTGAAACAAGTAATTACTCCTCAACCATAAGGGGAAGTAGTAGTGTTTGCCTTGTTTATCTCTCAGGGCAGCTGTGAGAACGAAAGAGATGTGTGTTCGCCTGCACACATGTGTTTTCCAGCTCACAAATCCCAGTGCCCTGTTTGTATTTCCCCAAAATAAAGACCTTGCCATTCATGTCAGAGTTCCTTCAAGTGAAGGACCATGCAGTTCTTTCGTGGAATAGAATTTAAAGCAGATGTGTAAGGATCTAGAGAAGATTGAGCTTCTTTAGGTCAGGGACTGCTTATTTTTACTCTCAGTCTCTGCAGAAATTCCTACCTTAGGTCATGTAAGATTGTAACATCTGTATTCTTCTTTCAGTTAGTCTGATTGAGTTCTCCAGATTTTACTTTCTTAGACAATGCAGTCCATAGCAACTAGCAGGAGCTTTTGTATAAGCCCAAGTTGACGTGCCAGCCACTAACAAGTCAAATTTAGTTCAGTACCTTAAAAACTACCCTGCTCATACACTGACTCAAGTTCATAACCTCCTCTGGCCTTTCCCACATCTCTAGTTCAAAAGACTAGACTGTCAGCAGCATAAGTGAATTATAAACTCAGCTCATAGGAGAACCTTCATGTTCCTTTATGCATCAGGGTCAAGGTGACTCCAGATGTAGCCACTCACCCAACAGGGAGCATCCTGGAGGACACCACCAATCGGCAGGTTCTGTAATCCTACAGTAACTTCAGTGTTGGCGTTGAGGATGCCACATGCTAGAATATAATCTGAATCTGTTACTACAAGCAAAAAGTTGTCAGCACCATATAACTAGCCCTGATTTGGCCCCTCGGGGTCACCTCACCACCTAGGCCAGCAGCTGTTTGAACATTAGGTGAATAGTACATGTTCTTTTTTTTAGTGCCATGTTAGTACTCCTGTTTGCTCTCCCCAGCTGATTGATTTCTCCAGTTCTTGATCCAAGTTTAAACAGATAGCTGTCCACTTCCTGGGTCATGATAGTCCTTGTCGAGGTGAAGTTACTTTAACTGTAAAAGTTCAATACACGGTTTGTGTTGTCCCCTGTAAGCATCAAATCACTAGGTAGTCTGTTAGCTCAGATCCTTGTATCAGCATGAAAAATAAGTGAATCCCTCAGAGTCAGATTCGATGATACACATGAGCAGTAGAGCTCATGGAATCATTAGAAATAGGGTGAGTGCTCTCTTTGGAATATTTCAATTTAGGTGAGAATTAGACTGAAGAAACTTTATCTGTAAGACACCAAATGCCAATGATCTCCATTTACCTGCTCAGTATTCCCAGCTCCCTGGACCCAGAGGAAGTGAGGAGTGACCCAGGTTCCGTGGTGTCTGAGGAGTAACACTTGCACTTTCCCAACTTGGAAACACTCCACACCCTCTGTGCTGTGAAGCCACATGAAGCACGGATGACTGGTTCTGGGTAGAGACCTAGCTGGTTGCCTTGCTGATGTGTTAAATCAAAACTGTGTACAGCCGGAGATCCCTGACATGCTGTCCTCATTTTGTAGTATGATCTGAAAACCGAGACCGCGCCTCTTGTTGTGGTTGTTTCCACCACTGGCACTGGAGACCCACCTGACACTGCGCGCAAGTTCGTGAAAGCAATACAGGACAAGGCTCTGCCGGGAGATTTCTTTGCTCACCTGCACTATGGATTACTGGGTATGGACTCTGCGTTCTGCCTGCCCTCAGTTATTCCTGGTTTTAATTCTGGTATCTGAATGTATCCTTCAAAACCATGATACGTGGTTGTATAGATTTTGTTCTTGGTTTTCTATTTACAGTTACGTGTTTTATACGTTTCTATAATGTTCTGTGTTCTGTGAATGCCTCCTCTGTCTTCATCCCATAGCGGCTCGTCTGTGGAGCCCCGGGAGTAGCATTCTTAACCATGGGCGCATATCAGATTCAACTAGGAAACCTTTTAAGAATATCAACAGCTAGTCCACCCCCACCCCCCACCCCTGCCCAAACTTGGTTAAAAAAAAAAAAAGAAAGAAAAACCCTGAAGGAGCAACTCTGAATTCTATTTTATTGGGTTTTTTGTTTTTGTTGTTTTTAAGAGGAAAAAAGAAAAATCCAGAAGCTCCCAGGTAGATCTGATCTCCCTGAGAACCACTGCCCTAGGATGATTGCCAATCCCGGCCATATGTTAGGATCAGCTGGGGGAGGTTTTCCTTGAGTTCTGTTACCTGGTCCCACCTCCAGTAATTCTTACTTAATTGTTCGGAGGTGGAGTCCTGGCATCAGTGGTTTTAAAAACTCCTAGGTGATTCTAATATGCATTCCAGGCTAGGAAACACTGGCCTAGGGCTCTGTGAAGTATAGATTAAAAAACTAAGATTAAGTATCAGAAGGACCAGCTCAGTAAGATAGAACACCAGAGAGAGAATTCAGAGCCCGTATTCCTGGCTTGTGGTCTATGTTCTTTGAATCCTCTTTGAGAATTATTTTGGGGGAGGGTATCT